TAAACGCATCAAGTAAAACCTCTCAAACTGGAACGCATTTGTGCTCTTTATAATTTCTCTGATATGCAAAACTTTTCCAGCACTTTGTGCAGGTGTACGGCTTCTTCCCGGTGTGAATGTGCATGTGCGCCTTCAAATTATTGGGCTGCGTGAAACTCTTCAGACAAATGTCACAAGTAAACGGCTTTTCCCCGGTGTGCACAAGCCTGTGTCGTTTCAAATTAGCTGATAAATGAAACGCCTTCCCACACGTCTCGCACTTGTGAGGCTTTTCTCCTGTATGAGTGCGCATGTGCATCTTCAGCGAACTCGACAGTTTGAATCTCTTACCGCACAGCAAGCATTTATGAGGTCTTTCTCCTGAATGCAGAAACATGTGGGTTTTATATGAAGCCCTCAGAGAAAAGTCCTTACCGCAGATCTCGCACTTGAACGGTTTTTCACCGGTATGAAGCTGTTCGTGCATTCGGAGGGAATGAATGCTGCTGTACTTCCTGTCACATGACGTGCAGGCAAACGGTTTGCTGTTGTCCGAATGCAGCTGAAGGTGAGCTTTCAATGCGTAAGCGGAGCTGAGGAACTTTCCGCACACCTCACAGCGCTGAGCGTTGCTCTTTTCACCCGGATTGATTTGATTGTGTGTTAAAATATGGTTCCTCAGAACGTAATTATACTGGAAGGTTTTGCCACACATTTCACACATAAACCGTTTTTCACCGTGAACACGCATGTGGCCTTTAAGAGTGCTTCTCTGATTGAATCTTCTGCCGCAAACCTCGCAGACGTAAGGCTTGTCGCCGGTGTGAATAAGAATGTGGCGCTTTAATGTACCAGAAAGTGCGAAACTTTTCCCGCAGATGTCGCACGTGTGCGGTCTTTCGCCTGTGTGAACGCGGAGGTGGTGTTTCAAAAGTTTATGGTATTTGAAGCTCTTATTGCAATGGCTGCATTTTATGGGCCTTTCGTTGGAATGAATCCTCTTGTGATAGTTTAACGTGCCGATCAGGGAGAAACACTTTCCGCAGGTGTCACATCTATATGGTTTTTCGCCCGTGTGGACTCTTTGGTGCATATACAAACTTCTTTTGATGGTGAATCCCTGTCCACATGTTTCACAGGTAAATGGTTTGACTTCCGCATGGACTAGCTCGTGTGCTGCCAGATCTCTGAAGCTCTTTCCGCAGGTGGCACAGGGGAATTTCTTCTTCTCAAACTTCTGCGAGTGTTTGCGGAGGTGAGTTTCTAGTGCTCTCAGCAGTGTGAATTTCTTGCCGCACTTTTCACAGCCGTGCGGCCTCACGATTGAGTGCACACGTTTGTGCTGGACGAGAGAAAACATCTTCGGAAAGGCTTTTCCGCACTGCTCACATTCAAAAGAGTCCTTCCCGTGTGAAACCTCGGGTTGTTTGGTTGATGTCTGCAATGCTCCCTCCTGATCTTCAGACCAGCTCTGGTCTTCAGCAGCTGATGAAGTAATAACAATAATAATAAATGCATCATAGTCAACATCAGTCTTAATTTGCTGCTGATTATGGGTGAAATGTTCAACAGATTAAAATATATATATATATTACAAAAGAATCGACAGCAAGTCAGTGAATAAAGTCATTTTTGATTTCAGGATGACTTTCAGAAATTATTCAAGTTATTAAAGCGAGCTCCTCATGGCAGCTGATCGTGTATCAATCATTATGCTCATCCTTCTCGATCTGAGTGCAGCCTTCGACACTAGATCTCATTCCAACCATCTCAACAGATTATTTTCCATTGGCGTTTCTCACACCCCCTCGACTGGTTTCACTCATACCTTTCCAGCCGCATTCATTTTCAAGAGTTCATACTTAGATAATGCTTGACGATTCTAGCAGGTTTGGCATGCTGTCCCAGGAGAGAACCCTGAGCTCGGAGATAGATGAGCTCAAGGCTCCCGCCTGGTCAATGAGGATTAAGAGGCATACGAGAGTAGGTAGTTCTCGAGAGCTCCCCCAATTTGTTGGGCCTATATCTTGATAAATATGATGGCTCTATAGGAATAGACGGTCAACCACAACATTGCATTCGCATTAAGTGCTTGTGACTGGTACTGTTATTTAATTCCCTTGTGTCACATGTCTTTAGAGTGTGGCAGGAAACCAAAGTACCTGGGGGAAACCCACACGAACAAGGGGAGAACATGTAAACTCCACACAGAAATGCCAACTGGCTCAGCCAGGATTTAAACCTGCGACATTCTTGCTGTGAGGCAGCAGTGCTAGCCACTGAGCCGCCGTGTTGCCTGATCCTAGAATTGAAGAAGAGGGAGAAGGGATAAATGGGGGAGGGGTTTTCCAAAACGAAGATAGGGAAAAAAAGTTTAGGCTGGATATTGATGTTATATTTGGAATAATCTGATTGGCTAGTTAATGATTACTTATATGGACAGCTGCAGTCAATCATGTCATGTGCTCCTCTGAAAATTAGTTTGTAAAACTTCACTTATCTGAATACTTTTCACAAGATGCTTTGAATAGCTCTGTTTTTCAAGCTACATTATCTGACAATGGGGTAAGTAATCATGTTTTTGCTATATTGGACTAGAAATAAGACCAAAATTCTAAGTAAGAAACACCTTTTTTGTTGCATAAACCGTTTAAATAATTCAATTAAATAAATCTGTTACACCTCCAAACTTCAGAATTCTTTGTACATGAACTCTCTTCATATGCTCTAAAAACACATGCAAGTTATAAACCTTCATTCTACTATGGTTAAACCTGGCAATGACTCTTCAAATCACATGTGTCCAGTAGCTCCTGGTCAACTCAAATACTAACATTGCAGATCCTGTCACTATTGCAGCTGTGCACATTGCGATATCGATGCTGAAACTTTATTTATTTATATATATTTATTGTGCAGTCCTAATACACACACACACACACACACACACATTTGTATATTTAATTGATGTTTTGTATATTTAATTGTAACTCACCATCACTAATAAATATTGTCTGGGTGGTTTCTTCTGCTCTGTCCTCCACCACAAGACATGTGCTTACATTACTTTCCTGTGCAACATAAATACAGATATAATTATGGGATATTTTACACCCTGTGATTTGTTTTCTTTTTTAATGTTTTTTTTATTGCATTGGATTATTACTGACCTCAATACTTGAGAGTTGCTGGTGAGATGTTGTTGCAAGATCCTTCTGAGGACTCAAAGAGGAAGACATAATATCTCCTGTCAGAGAGCAAGACAAAACAAATGTGACTTGAAATACTAGGTTAAAAAACACAGTAAAAAATCCTCTATACTGTGTGTGATACTGTACTCTGGTTATGGATATATGTTGTTCCACTGAAATCACATCTTGACTGAGATGAAGTCTTCCTCAAACCGTCTTCATCACTCAGACTCATTTGAGCAGGAAGAGGTGCAACAGATGAACAGTATCTGAAGAGACTACAAATCTTCTGCACTGCTTCTTTAGTGAGCCTGTCCATGATGGAATTAAGCTGCATTGATAAAAGAAAATGCTATAATTAAGAATAAAAAAGAATAAATATTAAAAAAAAAAAAAAAAAAAAAAATATATATATATATATATATATATATATATATATATATATATATATATATATATATATATATATATATACTGTATATATACATATATATATCAAAATCGAATGAATAAACTTCAATGAAAAATTAATTTACAAGGTCCACAATGAAACTGATAGAGAGCATATATTAAATTATTATATTGACCATATTTTATTACAAATAGAGGTTTAAGCTTTAGAGAAGGCATGCAAAATAAACATAAATGTCACGCAATCACTAATGAAATTTAGTAAGGGTAAAATTTGTGTCTATTATACAATGTAAAATAATAATAAAAAATTATATATATATATATATATATATATATATATATATATATATATATATATAATCGTGTAAAGAATAATTTGGCTACCCTGGCTGTAAACTTTATTAGTTTTAACGTATTTGCAACCATACAGTTTTAACCAATAACCAACAAATTGTAATCATACAAGGTTAAAGAGGTTCTTACCATTTGAATTTGAGGGTCGTTTAGTATGTCAGAGAGACTGGATTCATTTGAGATGTTCGTAAAAGCCTTTTGTATCTCGTGTTTTGCAGTGTCCGTCAGTAATGTTATGATGAGAGAGGTTTGACTCTGAAAAAGCTCGTACCTCCCCATAGTGTCCACAGTTATGAGCTGCTCAACTTATGTCTGACAGCTGCTTTAGCTAGATTCAGTGCAATATAAACAAACCGCTGAACCCCTCCGGAAAGTTTCACCAAGCAGGAAGTACTTCCTCTTTGGTTTTTAGATTTCAAAATAAAAGTTCTAAATTGAATATTCAATGAAATTCATAAAAAAACGTCTACACAAACAGTAATTATCTCATAGACTACAGTATTTATTAAAGGATAACTAAAATGCTCAAAAACGAGAATAATGAATTTATTGGTGCTAACATCCCTGCTGAAAATCAGTTTAAGGGTTTTATTTGGGCATTTCCATGCTGGTTTCCAGTCATTTCCAGCCTGGCCTTAGCTCTGTTTAGGCTGGAAAATGACCAGCTTAAACCAGGCTGGAAATGGCTAAAATCAGCCTGGAAATGGCCAAAACCAGGCTGGTTGACCCCCTAAAACCAGCCAACCAGAGCTAGGCAGGTTTAAGCTGGAATTTTCAGCAGGGTTAGGCGAAGAGAACTGCAATTCACAAGCTCTCGCAATACACAATTTAGTAATATTACCAGGTTTTCTGTCACCATGCCAACATGTAAAAAATTATTACTTCCCATGTTTTTTTAATAACATCCATCCATCCATCTGACATTTATAGTAAAACCGTGGTAAAACAAATGGTAATCAATATGCCAAAAAAAACAAGCTTACTACACTTTCTCCATAATAAAACCAATGTTAGTTTTAATTTAAAGTCTTCTGAATATACAGTAATAAAATGTACAACATCTTGCCCAATGTTTTATTTTGAATGCCTTTCTTTCTTTTTAATAGTAAGAAATTCCAGCAAGAAATGCTGCAATATAAAAAGAGATTTTCACCAATGAATGAGAATGAGGACATTGCATTAGGACTTGACTTCTGCATGAATCTGTTCATGTGCTGAAGCTCTCGCCACACGTACTGTACAACAGAGGAATTTCTTCTTTTCGCACTCTGTGCATATTTGCATATTTAATCATTTTACAGAGATTCTTATTTTGCATACTTAAGGAAAATAATGTTATTCACGTCTCATGCCTGTTCCTTACACCAAGAACCTGTGTTAATTCAGTGTGATCAGGGTGGTGTAGTCAGCTTCAATTCAGTATTCATTTCATTTCAACTTACCACTCCACCACATTCTGGTGGAGGTTAGGTAAAAACAACAACAACAACAACTCACAAAGGTAACAGAAATGGCACTGCATTTCAGTTCCCAGCACCCGTTGTGGTTGGGGTGACCAACCCTGCTCCTGGAGATCTACCTTCCTGCAGATTTCAGTTGCAACCCATATCAAACACCCCTGTCTGTGATTATCAAGTACTGTTCAGGTGTTATTGATCAGAGTTGGAGCTGAACTCTGCAAGAAGGTAGATCTCCAGGAGCAGGGCTGAGCACCCCTGCCTTAGGGAAACATCTTTTTTTCACAGAGGCACACATTTGTGATCATTATAATTTCTACGGTATGCATATTTCTTCCCGCATTTTTGGCACGTGAATGGTTTCACACCAGTGTGGATTTGCATATGTGCCTTCACATGGTTGTGTTGTACAAACCGTTTCCCACAGACCTCGCAGCTGAACGGCCTTTCGCCAGTGTGGATCCGCTTGTGACGGCTTAAATTTCCAGGCAACCGAAAGCTCATTCCGCACGTTTTGCACTTATGTGGCTTTTCACCAGAGTGTATGCGGATATGCGTTTTAAGACTGTGCGGCTGTCCATATGTTTTGCCGCAAACAGAACATTCATAGGGTTTCTCTTTAGTATGAACAACCTGGTGGAGTTTCAACCCATATTTGTTACAAAAACTCTTACTGCACACGTCACATTTCCACATTGACACCCCCAAATGTAATCTCTCATGTATTCTTAATGAATACACGCTGACGTAGCTTTTACCACAGACTTTACACATATAAGGATCCTTTTCCGAATGGAGTCTCTGATGCATTTTGAGCAGAGCGTTGGTACTGTAGCTTTTCTCGCACATATCACATGGAAAAGTCTTCCCAGTTCCAGATTTACCATTTGTTTTATTTCTGTGTGTGAGTAAATGCTTCTGTAAAGCAAAGTTAAACACGAAGCTCTTCCCACATATGTCACACATGAATGGCTTCGGAGCTCCATGTATTGCCATGTGTCTCTTTAAAGCTATACTCTGATAAAACCGCTTGGAACAAATTTCACAGCCGTACCGTTTCACACCACTGTGCAAAAGCAGATGCCTTTTGAGATTTGTACCGTGTCCAAACTTCTGTCCGCAAATATGACAAATATGGGACTTCTCTCCTGTATGCACAATCTGGTGCAACTTCATATTATGTTTTGATTTAAAAGTCTTGTCACAGAGGCTGCACTTCCATGGTTTTTCTGTCTTATGAACCAACAGATGGTTGGTGAGGTTTTGTGTTTGTGCAAACTGCTTCCCGCAAGTCTCACAGCTGTATGGTTTTTCACCAGTATGAATCCGCTGGTGCTCCATTAAAGTCCCCTTTACAGTAAAGCCGCGTCCACATATGGAACAAAGAAAAGGCTTCACCTCCAGGTGGACACGTTCATGCATTTTAAGATCTGCAAAGCTTTTCCCACAAGTTTTACAGGTTCCCTTCTTCTCTTTGTGATTTTGTAGGTGTTTCTGTAATCCTGTTACAAATTTAAACTTCTTTCCGCACCGTTCACATATGTGAGGTCCTTTTGAAAGTCCACATTTGTGATGCTTTAGTGAGTGTCTCCAGCGAAATGTCTTTCCGCAGTCATTACAGTCAAATGATACTGGCTCTTTAGTTGTCTTGGACTTTGTGGTGATTTGCTCTGCTTGTGTGTTTACTTCAGTTTGCTGGTCTTCTCCAGATGTAACAGCAGAGTATTCAACTGCAAAAAAAAAATGAACAGAGTTCCAGTTATTGATGAAGGCTACAGGCATGATTAGCTGGTTTTAAAAAAGGTAGCTAGACTTTGAGGTAAATAGGATAGAAAAAATCTTAAATAAATGTATTACAGTCTCTAAAAGTATATTAATATAATTTAGAAATGTTTAGCCCCAAATTAGCATATTAGAATGATTTATGAAGGATCGTTTGACACTAGACTAGAGTATCCTACAGTACATGAGAATTTGTCATGTCTTGACTGAGCCCAAAAAAATTCTAAACACTTAAAAAAAAACTATATTTACAGAAGGAAACCACTGATACAGTTTAACATTTACAATTAATTTAAATAAAAATCTAATTAATAACTAACTAATGAAAATCTGACATCATAGATTCTTATATATTCAGTAGCAAAAAACAGTAACTGACAAGTTAAATTGACTTTATTCATATTCTAGAACAATTATGTATTGGAAATATAAAGCTATTTCATGATATAAAGTAGAAATTACATATTTTTTTTATAAACATAATAAAAGTAGTTGATTAGTTAGTAAGTCCAGACTTTCTTTTGTTGAAAACCGTTAGTAATGAATCTAGGACTGAAATATTATTTGTTTTTTAATAATTAATTAATTAAAAATACAACAACATAATAATCAAACCAATTCTAAAATGAATAGCATGTTAATCCACTTATATACATAAGTTAACTATCGCATACCTTCTATTAGAAATGCTTGCATTGTTTTTTCTTTAGCAGCACTTGACGAATCAGGAAAAAATTCAGAAATGTGAGTCTTCTCTTCAGACTGAAAAAAAAAAGAAAAGACCAACGTTAATACAAGTCAGTTGACAATACAGAGTTATTAAAATGCATCAACAAACTCACCTGATGGCCTTCAACAGATTCTTGTGGTTGTTTATTTTCTTCAGGTAACAAAGTGAGCAAATTTTGCTGTGTTGGAAACAATGATGGAGCTACAGCTGGAAAGATGATTATACTGTTAACATAGCAGAGAACTGAATATTGCATCTGTATTTTAAATGCATTTCCCAGAGATGTGTTGAGGCTGGAAGGTCATCCACTGGGTAAAAACTTGCTGGATAAGTTGGCGGTTTATTCCGCTGTGGCGACCCCAGATAATAAAGGAACTAAGCCGACAAGAGAAGGAATGAATGAATGAATGAATGAATTTTAAATGCAGGATATCTTACCAGGTACATCTTTGACAATTTGATTACAATTTCTTTCTGCTTTTTCCAAATGCTTCTTCTTGAGTGCTTTAACTTTTACAACATTTCCACTGTAACTTTTTACATCTCTCAGTAGAGTCTGCTGAAGTGCCAAGCAACAACTGAAAACTTTACATATTTTTTGAATAGCCACCTTGGAAAAGGTCTCCATCACCGCGGTGAGCTTTGCCTGTAATAAATATTAATAATTAGTGGTTATTATTATTTATTTATTTTTACTTCATTGAAGATCAGTTTGGAAACTAACAAGAGAAGATGAGAATTAAAAAAAAGAAATATAGTTACTCATAATATTTTTTAAACCTAAAAGTCTTATTGAAATCTTACTGTATAAAACCAAAAAATAAATAAATAAAATAAAGGAGAACATATTTAACCAAACAAAGAGCTGTTTTATTCTTACTGAAAATTAAATAGCAGGTATAATATCTGTCGAGTAAAAAAATAAACATACCACTCTGCGTTGTTTCTCATTCAATTCCAAAAACTCGTCTCTGTCACAACATATATGAGTGTGGGAAAGATGACATTCATAGTCAAAAACTTTTTGAATTTCTTCTCGAGCAGTTTCTGACAGCAGTGCCATTATAGACACTATTTGTTGGTGAAATAAGTCATACTCCACCATTGTACTACATATAAAGTGAGTGAATTCAGCGGGTACACAAACGATACCGCGGTCAATGCGTTCATGTAAACTTCCGTGGGACTAATATTCAAAATAAAAGTCTTTAAAAGCACGCATTTTCTCGTCCTGACGAGTCGCTCCATAGTCCTGAGAGCGTGACTTTTATTTTAAAATAAAATTCCGCACGTTAAGGAAGTCAAGAACCTGTAACATACGAGAATGACATTTGTTCCACTTTAATATTTTCATAATAATGAATGCGAAGCTACGGCAGTTTTAACAAGATTAGCACTAAATATCGCTAAATAATTTATCTTGAATAATGTCGGAAAAGACAAACCTCCAGGTATGTTCATTCATTCACCACTCAATGGTTTTAGAGAACTGAAACCTGGTTTGAAGTTAAATTTAACTCATATTATCTCTCCAAAGAAAAATAACTGCATTTATTTGACATATTTACTGTATTGTATGCTTTATTTATTTAACTAGCACTTAAAAACCTTACGGTGCTGGTCCTTTGGTGTGCACTTCTGAAATAATCGCTAAGCATATTTTAATATAGGTAACGTTATTGTAAGTGGAATACTTAATACGTTAAGATGTAATATGACATTTTTCTATATGAATTGTGTCATTTACTCCTCCCTTGTGTGTAACGGACACAGTGAATAGGCATTATTGTGTTATCTGCTGAAGGCAGGACACTGGGCGTTGTGCCTCCAGCATCAGATTGTCCTGCTTCGTCTTCAGTATACATTGCTTTCTCTTCCTGAAAGTATCTGAACTTTAGCTCAGTTCTCTACAGATATGGCAGATGGACCTTATAAATATGCCAGGGTCAGGATATTATGCAAAATAACATGTAACTTTCTATTATTTGTGTTGCTACAGATTTTTGTATAAAATATTCTCTTCTTTTACAGGACAGTGATGGAAGAGTCAGCAGGGTGATCCGTGTTGGCACCAGAAAAAGCCAGGTGAATTGATATATCTATGCTTATTGTGCATATTCTGTTGCCATATCATATTAATTTTAAAAGAACTGTAAGAAAGAAATGTGATTAATTCCATACCCCACTGTTGAATTATTTTTTTTATTAAAAAAGTCTCTTATGCTCACCAAGACAAAAAAAATATATGAATGATAATAAATAATAATATATTTTAATTAAAATAACAGTGAAACTATTAATATTATTAAAATAAATTACTTAAAATAAGCAAAGTCAGTTTTGATGTTTTAAAATGTAATTTAGTCATATGATAGAAAAGCTAATAAGTTTTCAGTTTTCACTGTTACATGATCTTTCCGAAATCATTAAAACCATTTTTAATGATGAATTATTGTGTGCATTAAAATTGATAATCTAACATAATATCTAACCAAACAAAGTCATCATGCTCATTTTATATGAAAATATGAAAATGAATAATTTTATCAATTTCTCAGTGAATATGGGTAATTTATATTGGTGAATTTGAACAAAACAGATTTATTAAACAGAAATGTTTATTAAAATAATATTTGAGAGCATCTTTAGAAATGGAAAGATGATACATTTAAATAAAAAAACACAAACTACAAAATTTCAACAAAACTGTTTATATTTTTTGTTTCTCTTGATTTTTGCTATTAAAATTTTTTTTTTAATATTTTATATATATTATATATATAAAATATGAATCAGTAAAACAAAATATGTATCAAATAAAATTTGAGTCTACTAGTTTTTGAAACATTATTGTAAGTTATTTTGTTAGATTAGCTCCAGATTTGGCTTCAAGACTGACTAAACTAATGTATATGCACAAATATAATGTTGTAAAGCATCCTATAGAACATTTTCATTTAAATGAGAGATGTGTGGGGGTGTACTTGTATATGCTGAGCACTGTATATATACAGTCGAAGTCAGAATTAATAGCCCCCCTGAATTATTAGCCTCCCTGTTTTAATTTTCCCTAATTTCTGTTTAATGCAGGGAAGATTTTTTCAACACATTTCTAAATATGGTAGTTTTAATAACTAATTTCGAATAACCATTTTATCTTATCTTTGCAATGATGACAGTAAATAATTTTTCACAAAAATATTTTTCAACACTTCTATACAGCTTAAAGTGACATTTAAAGGCTTAACCAGGTTAATTAGGTTAATTAGACAGGTTAGGGTAATTAGGCAACTTATTGTATAATGATGGTTTGTTCTGTAGACTATTGGGAAAAAATTAGCTTAAAGAAGCTAAAAATTTCGTCCTTAAAATTATTCTATCCAAAATAAAACAAATTAGGCTTTCTCCAGATGAAGAAATATTATCAAACAGTGTGAAAATGTCCTTGCTCTGTTGAACATCATTTGGAAAATTATATATTTTTTTTTCTTTTTTTTTTTTTTTTTTCCGAAATGAATAATTTGTTCTAAATATTATTTTTTCTCGTCATCACTCAGTGATGCAAGTGTTATACTCACAAATGAAGATGTGTGAGTTTGGGTGTGGCAGTGGTGGTGATGAGTGATGGGTGTGATAAGGGTTTTGTCTTTGTCAGGGTGGGTAAAACATTGTTTAGTTTTATTAAAGAAACTGACTCTTCTTCAGAAGAGCCTCATATTGGCTGAGAAATGGAAAATTATTGAAACTTTTTGTTTCTTTTCACAGCTGGCTCGGATCCAGACAGACAGTGTCGTGGAGAAGCTCAAGGAGTTATACCCTGATGTTCTTTTTGAAATTGGTAGGATATTATTCCTTAATATTCAAAACAATTGATGTTTATTTGTATTGAGTTTAGCATATATGATGGAAATGAATGTTCGCTTTCATATTCATTTTGCTTTTCACGTCATACAACTTCTTATTTTCTTTACATTTTTGTTTCAGTGGCCATGTCAACAACTGGAGATAAAATACTAGACACAGCTTTATCCAAAGTAAGTTTTAATCCACATAAAGAAATCAAATCATTTATTACACAATTAAAGAATTAATTTGAATTATATTATTATTTGAGCAAGAAAAATAGCAATTTATTCAAGATGTTAATTACATCTAATAAAAGAAGAGCTGTTCGTTTTTAAAACATATATTAATTATTGTTCAACTTCCGTGTTCCAGATCGGAGAAAAAAGCCTCTTCACAAAGGAACTGGAAAATGCTTTGGAAAAAAATGAGTGAGTTCACCAATCGTGACGTTTTAACATCAATAACATCCTCTGTGCAGGAAATACAGAGTAGTTCTTCAGTCTATAATGCATGTTTTAGAGGTTTGTACTGCAACACTGGTGCTGATGTTTCAGTATGAATAACGCTGTTGTAATATTTGTCTCTATAGAGTAGACCTGGTCGTGCACTCTTTGAAAGACTTGCCAACAGTTCTTCCGGGGGGCTTCACTATAGGAGCTGTGTTGAAGTAAGAAATCACAATCGTGTCTCTGTGTTCGCAAGTGTTCATTTGTTCCTCAACATCAGAAGACTCTTTTATCTTAAAAGGAGTTTACAAATGACATGTTACAGATCAAATTCAGCTTAAATGTTATTTGTATTGAAACGCTGATGTAAAACATATTGCACATTGCAAATCCTTGTAAATCTAAAGGCCAATTTGTGATTGATATTTCCTTTCTTCAAAGACGAGAAAACCCCCATGATGCTGTTGTGTTGCACCCCAAAAATAAAGGCAAACGTCTGGACTCTCTTTCCAACAAGAGGTAAAACCTTGAGACAGTTATTAGATACTTTTTGAAGTATGTAAATGAATATGAACTAAATTCATATTAACTGACAGTAGGGATACTTTAAATGTTACAAAAGATTTGTGTTTTTAAACTTTTTGTTCATCAAATAAATCCTTCAAAAATGTAAATCAGTTTTTACAGAAATATTAAGCAGCATAACAATTTTTTTAATTTATAATTAAACCTATTCAACGTATTGAATGATTTTTTATTGAGTCGTAAATTCAGATTTACCATTACTAGAATAAAATATGGACTAGTTATTTAAGATTGTAACAATATTTTACAACATTATTGTTTTTTGCAGTCTTATAAACAGCCTTTGTGAGGATAAGAGACTAATGCTTTAAAAAAATCATGTCAACCTCATATGATTTATTAGCGGTGCATACAGTGCTCAGCATGTATGAGTATACCCCCACAAATCTCTCATTTAAATGAATATTTTCTATAGGATGCTTTACAATATTATATTTGTGCACAGGCGCGTGCTGAGACCGTCCAAAGGGCATGTGCTGGATACATTTTTTGAAGAGTTGGGGGGTTGTTGCGCGCGTACTGAAGAGCGGTGTTGTCACGCGCGTTCTGATCAGCTGTGTTATCGCGCGCGTACTCAAGGGCGGATGTTGTCGTGCGCGTACTCAAGAGCGGTGTTGTCGCGCGCCTACTGAAGAGCGGGACCGAGGGTGTGCCGCATCGCGGGGGCACTTTGGATAATTTTGGAAGGGCACTTTCTATCCAAGACTGAAAAGGGCATGTGCACTATGTGTGCACGTGCCTGTTTGTGCATATACATTGGTTTAGTCAGCACTGAAGCCAAATCTGGAGCTCATCTAACAAAATAAATTACATAATGGTTGAAAAATTAATTATTAGCCTAAATTTATATTCATTCATTCATTTTCTTTTTGGCTTAGTCCCTTTATTAATCTGGGGTTGCCACAGATTTTACGCAACGGATGCCCTTCCAGCTGCAACCCATCCCTGGGAAACATCCATACACACTCATTCACACTCATACACTACTGTTAGCAGTTAGCAGTTAGCATACCTAATTCACCTATAGCACATGTTTTTGGACTTGTGGGGGAAACCGGAGCAGCCGGAGGAAACCCAAGCTAACGTGGAGAGAACATGCAAACTCCACACAGAAAAGCCAACTGACCTTGCTAGCAACCTTCTTGCTTTAAGGTGATTGTGCTACCCACTGTGCCACCGTGCTGCCTCCCAAATTTATGTTAAGGAAAAATATTAAATAAATTTCTCCAAAAAAATAAAATAAAATCATGAGAAACAAAAAAATATATACAATTTTGTTGAAATGTTGTAGTTTGTCTTTTTTTTGC